CTTTTAAATGCTGATTTAAAAATGTATAATTTTAATGATTCATTCATATCCAGGGTGAAGCTCACTATTGCCCTTCCTCCTTCCATGAAGCTCCCAACTCTTCACGTTTTCTAAAAGGTGAGACATGCTTCTGATGCTCCTACTTTTATTCTCCATTTCTCTTGTTTTTTTAAGAGGTACATGTTTTGGGGAACTTAGAAGGTTTAGTATGAAAACTACCAAAATAGAAAGAAAATTGTCGAGATATTCATCTCCATCACATCTAACAGCATGAAAAGGGGAACCCAAGGCAGAAGGCAGTTCTGTAACATGTTACCGTGTCACAGGCACAAACAAGGTAGGGGAACAGCTTTCTAATTTTTGCCTTCTTAAATATATTACCTCTTTTACAAACTGGCTGACCATTTAGGGTAACCAAAACTGGGTCTATATAAAAATCAACTAATGAAGTCTTAAATTCTCAATGAGGCTAATCCAGTTTGTAAATAAGCCCTATGTGATTTAAGAACTGCCTACTGATTTCACCAGCCTGAAATCTTTTCCATTCTCAGATTCACTCTGGAAGTAAGAACTGTGTTCTTGTTCTCATAGTCTCTCTCTCTCTCTCTCTCTCTCTCTCTCTCTCTCTCTCTCTCTCTCTCTCTCTCCCTCCCTTTCTCCCTTTCCCTCCCTCCCTCTGTCCTTTAGCACAGGGTTAAGGTAACAGAACGTAAGATGTAGTTTATTTCATCAACATTTGTGGATTTCCCCAACACTATACAACATAAAATTAGCACAGTATATACTAGTAATTCCTATTTTTTTCTGAATAACTCAGTAAAAACCATTATCACTAAAGAGAAAAATGTCCAGATGGAATTGAAATATAACAGAAAAGATCTAAAGAAAAAAACACTAGAGACTATGTGGCTCAGGCTCTGATTTTGACCCTGGGCAGGTGTATAAAAGAGAATAGTCACTGGTTGTGCCCCCAAAAGTTGGAGGCACTCCAAGGAAAGAAGTGTAATGACTTTGGAACCATCTCTGAGCAAAATGATGGTCTCCATACACTCAATGCACTTAGTAGATTTGGTGGCTACCTCTTAGTGAAAGAAAATTTGGGAAGGCAGTTCTGACATTATTCCTGTCACCCTAAGATCCTAACACCGATGCTTATGGCTTTGTACCCTGTTAAAATAGAATTGGAAAAAATGGAGAGGACCTTGAGTGAATAGGGTAGAACAGGAGTGTTCTGGTGATAAATATTAACCACTGGACTTCTGGAAAAACACCCCTTGATTTGCAGGATGAATATAAATACTCCCATCAAGGCTGGTTTCAAGTTACAAAGCAGTATCACTGAATGTGAAGTTGGCAAGAGCTGAGCACAGCTAGCTCCTACAAGCTGGTGGGAGCTGGCTCCAGCACTCCTGGAGAGCTCAGGTCTCTGGAAGCCAGAGGGCATGAGAACATGTCTCTTTGTACGGAAAAGAGGCAGAACGTGGAACCAGATTCACACTAAAGTGCAGGGTTTATAGGAAGGCACTGCTTCTTGCTTTCCCCATATGCTTGCTCTATAAGCTTTTCTGGTAACCAATGAAAACCAATTCTAACCTTTTGGCACTGTTAATTGAAGCAAATGACTTTTAGAAACATAGATGATGATAGCAATATAGTAAGGAGGATCTGGAGACTTCCATTTACAATAACTGATTTGGAATAAATTTTATAAAAGAAAAAAAAAGGACTTGACTACTTACAAAGATATCTGTTTATCTCTCTGTATGAACTTTTACACTGCCTCTATTGTCATGAACTCACTTAAAGCTTCGGATTGAGGAAGCTGACAATGACACATTTGATTGAAAGCTGAGTTTGTGGTAAAGAAGAAGTACAAATATTTTGCTTACCAGTTCTGAATGAAAGACTGATGTTGATTTATGCAGCCATTTTAGCCTTTTGTTTCTGTTATCACAAGGGTGCAGCCTCAGGTCTCCCTTATCAGGGATGGGAGCCAAGCACCATTCTCCATGTTTAATAAGTCTTAACCAGGTGTAGTTAAACTGTTGAAACTGTGGGAGAAATGAATAAGAAAAATGTCACTTCAAGCAGCAAATACAAGTAAGGGCTTTATCAAACGTTTTTGTTAGCAAAGGTTAAAAATATAGGCACTTTGGTCAGATGTTTTGTATTCAAATCTTGGTACTCCCACTTTCAACACTGATAGCATGGCATATTTTTCATTCTGTCCAATCTCATTTTCTCATTTTTAAGTTGGATAGCAATGGTGCCTATCTCCAAGGATTGGGCAATGACTGTCAAGTTGTTAGCATATAGTAAGTCCTCAATAAATGTTAATTGCAAGAATACGAATTCTTAGTACAGTTAGTACATGTCTATAAATGGATGTTCTGGATCCCAGACAACCCTGGTGCTTGGAGTATTGGAACATTCAAACCACCACAGGATTACATCCCCGGGCCACTGGGGCTAACGTTATAGTCCTAAATTACCTTGATGGAAATTATTATGCTTCTTTGCTTAAGACTGTCTAGATAGACAATTGGACTCCTAGAGGTTTAGTTTTATTGTAGGAAAGGTTAACACTCTTTCTTTGCTGATAGCACGAGGAATCAGGTTGTTGCTGTGTGAATATCCCCCAGTCCATAGGAGCTGTTCTTGGAGAAGTCCGGTTTTGGGGGAGTTGCCAATGTCTAGAATAAATACCAATTCAGGCAATGGAACCATGTCTTCAACTTTTATAAATATTTTCTCTAGTCGTTTACAACTTAGTACTATCTGCCTGGTCAGTTTATTCTAAGCCTCCTCTTGTCTGTGGGAAATTTGTTGTTTTGTACCAATGTAAACATATTAGAAAAAAAAATAGACCACTGGTACAATCTATCTAAATGCTTCTATTTAATGAATCATTTGTAATGTAACTGAGATTTAACGTAGATTATCAAGTATGTCAAAGGGTATGTATCCGCGGACCATCATCAGCATCACTAGCAGCTAGATGGAAATGCTGAGTCTCAGCCCCTCTGTGGATGTGTTGAATCAGAATCCGCATTGTAACAACCTCCCCAGGTGGTTTGTGTGCACATCACATTTTGAGAATGTGGAAGAAAAAGGGGTTCTATGGAGAGCAACCTCACAGGGTGATGTCATAAATTCCTAACTGGGCAGATCATGGTAGGTAGTCACCCTCCAGGCATTCACCTTTTTTAGTGAAAGGTTTATCTGCCTTAAGCAAGCCCTGTCCATTGTTTGTGGGCATCTAGTTTAACACACCTTTGAAATACCCCCTTTCAGACGCCTTCTTCTAATACATGGCCAGGCTTTCAGGCCACTCCTTTGAAAGCAAGAGAACACATAATTTGAACTATCCTGAAATCCAATCTTTGCCTTGCTTTCTCCCACCCTCATGTAATCTTCTTTCCATTCCCTTCTTAATTTTGAATGCATACAAGAAACTATAAAACTGTTATTCTCCAGAGCATTTGAGATCTTATTCCCTGGCATATGCCATCAGTTGGGCGCAAATAAACTCATAAAAATTCTCTACAGGTTTGAACATTTCTTAAATCAACAAGAAGCATAGATGCATGTCATAGTACAAGGAAGCTATGTAGCTACTAAGAGAAACTAGCTGTTACCTTGCAAAGGGACATCTCAACTAGTTGAAAAGTGAACTAAAGAAAATTTTAGGCAAGGTGGAAAGGTAGGGCTTGACGGTTCAATCCTGGGGTTTTATTCCTTTTGAGGTTTTTGCTTTGTTTTTAGATAAATGTTGTCACTGGCTTGATATTAAGTCTCAGTAATTCTAGCAAGAATAAGTTAACGTCCTCCATGTTCCTTTACTTTTTATTACTCAAACCACAAGCATAAGAAGCTAAAAAGGAGTAACAAGACAAAAAGGGAGATGGGCGTTTGTGGAAGGCAGGGACTGTATAATTTATACTTTTTTTTTCCTAGTATGCCCCTTTGAGAGACTCAATGGTTATCAAGACCACCCCTTGGGTTTTCAGATAAAATACTGGTTAACCAGGCACAGAAAATCACTAAACGATAAGTCTTTAAGGGTAGCATTATTTAATATTTTACTTTCATATAATTTGGACTAATTGTGGTTTTGTTTTACAATTTATGATTGTCTTTCATCTTTGAATTGTTAATCTGTTTCAGTTATTTCATTCCATTGATTTTTGACACTTTTCTCTTTCCTCTAGCTCCTCTTTCTTAATTAAGAAAAAGTCCCATTAGCCTCAAGTTTACAATCCACAGCTGAATTATAGCAACAGAAATGACAAAAATGCCTTCTCTTCTAGTATCAGCTTTGAATTAAGAGGTAGGAATGAGACGTGCTTAGAAATATAAACACTATCTCCAATTTGAAGCAAAGATGTAGGTTTTGGCAAGACTATTATCATTAAAAACTAATTTCTCTACCAAAGAGTGGTCTACAATTTTAGGGGACTCAATTCTACATTTGAATCGATGTTCCTGTGAGTCCTATTTGGCACTCGCTGTCCCTACAGAATGAGGAGGAGTAGGGAACATGCATAGAAGGGGAAGGTGCCATCACTCAGAGCTCACCTCCAGTGCTGTAGAGTTCCTGCTCTGTTCTCCCTGGCCCACTTCCTCCCCTAACCATGGTGCTCTGAGTCTGTGGGAGTTTGCGGCAGGGCTTTCCACCATAGATCATGAATTATGCGATTTGCATTACTCCCTTAAGATGCAAAAGAATAGGGCAGGGGATAGAGTAAACTTTTTCTCTGAGATTAATTATTCAAAAATATGTTCTGTGTTTTTCCTTTATTGTTTTATCTTCCTATGCAATGCATTATTTTTTCACTCTTTTGTCTTTATTGCTATAGCAATGAACGTTTGTGGAGCATAAGTGGCTACGTATTTCTCTACATGCTTCATATGTATTATCTAATTTGATCATCACACCAACTTAAGAGTAGGCACTATTATCACTGCTATTTACCTAAGGGTTAAGGAACTTCTAAAGTTAACACACTTTGGAGAGTGATGGAGCCAGAACTGTGTCCCTGGGGGTTAGACTTCAGGACCCAAACCTTTTCTCCCTCAGTCACTGTCATTACATTGGGTGGTGGACCCTCTTATCATCAACCCTATGATTATACAGAAATTTAGAAATTCATTATTGTTTCTATAGGCAAAAGCGAATTTCTCAAGTGAGTGATGAATGTGTCATACCTTACACCAATCAACTATATCTGTATCATCACCTGCACCTACTATGAGAGAGAAGACAGTAGCAGAGCTCTGCATACCTTGCTGTTCCCGTCACAGTCCTCCAGAATGGCTGTGGTGTTTTTAATGGAAATGCATTTACCCAAAGCCACATTAATAAGCTAGGAAGCAAAATAGAAGACAGGCATTAAGAAACAAATATTTTAACGTAGAACAAGACATTCAGCAAACACAGAGTACAAACCTACAATAAAGTTAAAACATAGTTAATAGCTTAGCAGTACTTAGCACTCTAAGATTTTATTGGTTGCTATCTCTAACAGAGACATAATGTAATCTTGCTAAAGTACAGCTTCAATCTGTCAATTTAGGCCTGTGATTCAGCCACAGAGCCAACAAACAGAAGCTTTTAATTAACCCTTGCCTGGAATGCTGAATAGGGAATGAGGAAAAGGTGGAATGAGAAGCATTTATTTGCTTGGCTCAGGTTTGTCTGATGCATACATTAAAAGTCAATGCACATCCTTGCAATTTAATCAAACCACCAGTCACAGGCTCTGTAGCCTGGCTGACCCCTCCGAGCTATTTGACTGCTTAGGCACTGATTCATAGATAAATTGAGTCCTTCAAGAACAGCAGATTATAGCTGATTCCCTGTCAGAATCTTCCTAATGACTCAGGCAAGCTACAATTCATTACAGGAAAGTCACGAAAGCTAATACAGAGCCAAGCTTAAAGGCGCTTTCTGGCAGTCCCCCAGGTTTTTAATGGATTTGCAGGGTCAAATATGGAGGCAGCTTTCTATAAGTCACTAGTTAATGCAGAAAAATGTGGACTCCCTTGCCCTTTTTGACATCCTGGGCAGGGCTAACGAGATGGTGGGTTAATAGTGCAATTTCGACTTCTCGGATTTCTAAAGAGCTGTGCAGAGCCAAGTCTACACTCAGGAAACCCTCCTGAGCTGGGAGGAGTGAGGTCTTAGTTGCCAGAGACACTATGAGTGCTCTTCTCTCTTGTGCGGTGCCTAATACAGAGCTCTAATTTGGGGTGCTTATGATGCAGGTTGTGTAGCTCTCCCAGTTTCCAGCCTTCCTCACATGGTGCTCAGTGGGTTGGTCCTCACTTTTACATACATAGCCTAGCTGACAGTAAGGGACCAGAAAATGTAGGGGGAAAAACACCCTAAAAGGAAGGGGTAAAACTACAACTATTGGTAAGCAAGAGACCAATATTTTAGGTGCAGGAGAAAAACTGGGGTATAGATAAACAAGAGGTGGAACTGCAATCTCCTGCATAAAGGTGAAAAACTGGAGTTAGGCTCTCAGTGGAATAATGTACTGGGGCAAACAATTTACCCTTTAGCACAGGGAGACTGCAGAGAAGCTAGATTCTCCTGGATCTGCAACAGTTACAGCGACCTTCATTTGGGCTTGGGATGCAAATTTATACAACTTGCATTGAATACCAACCCTGACAGACCCTCTCACACAGAAACAACATAAAAATAGTACCAGGTTGGTTGCTTCTGGGTGGCTGAAATGCAAAAACAATTCCAGAATGATAGGATCTCTGTCAGAAATCCTCAGAGAACGCTCTATTCACAATTTAAAATGACAAATATGGGCGGGTCAGGACCATCCACCATAGTAAATTGGTCACAGTCAGCACACACTGAAGGAAGCTACCACCACAAATTTCAGAGGAGCGTTAACAGATGCAATAAGGTAGAATAATCCTGGAGACGAAAGAAAGGAAATGGTGTCTCACTTGTCTCTGGATCTTAACGGAGAAATATATAAACTCCTGTATTTGTAGATCATTTAGAAAATATTCTATTTTCAAATGGGTTTGGAAAACTCTGGCTTCCACATAGCTGCACAGGTTGTCTTATTCCAAAACCTTTCAGAACCGTCAGTACATTAATGTTTAACTTGCTACTCCAAGAAGGAATGCAGTACAAGTGTTTGCCAAATATATTTGCGCATGGACTCTTATTTTTGGCAGCACAGCTAATAAGTTGCCCAGAACAATGTTTGGGAATCCCAGGTTCAACTGATTTCTCTGCGTTTATTTCACACCATCCTTTCTTTCAAACACTGAAAGGCATCAGAAGGAAGGAAAAAGAAAACTTTTCTATCCTTGCCTCCCCTTCCACTTCATCTGAAGATCTGTTTTCCCTTCCTTTTTATCAGAGATGACTGGAGAAATTTAGTGGAGAAATTGCTTTTCTTTATAAAGTAATGGTCTATGAAGTGCTAAGAAATTGTTATTCATCTCATTACGAATGGTTTTTCAAAATTGATTCTTTATTTTTAAAGAAATTTATTCATTCTTTTACTGTAAGCCACTTCAATCTTTATAAAAAAAATCAGGTGTATATCAATTTCAAATGACCTGTTTTGGATTACTTTATTTTCCATTTTAGGAAGTGGGAGTACACTGCAATTTATCACAGAATTCTTAAACATTAGGCCCTAGGCCATTTGCTAACAGTTTAGTCCAATATAAATGCACATTATTGGTGAGGTTATTTTATTAATTCCAAATATTTTTGGTTCGATAAGAAATGATTTGTTCTCATTAAAAAAATGTAACTTTACTGGATTTAAATTACTAAGTGTGTATGTTGAAACAAGGGAAAATGTGTAGCAAATAACAAAAAGTTGTAGAGTTTATTTTCTTGGAGCTTTTCAAGATCATCTGTCCAAAATAATGGTCTTGTTAATCTTAATTTGGATTGCCTAGAGAAAGGTCCCAATTTTTTTTTTTAATGGTAATGATACCCCTTACCAGTTGCTTCAGAGGGGATCAAATGACATCTTTATTAAAATTGGTCTCAGGAAGGCAACAGATAATAAAGTAGGAGCAAAGAATTTGTTAAAAATCATTTAAAAATATTTTTTTGTATTTGGATATATTAATATTATAGCTCAGGCATTAGCAGAAGGCTGTTTCATTAAGGCTAGCTCTTTAAACATTTCATTGGAGCTCAAACAAGTTAGCCTCAAACAGAAGGCAAAAGGTAGTTTTTTAGTTCCCTCTGGTGGTTAAATTTCAGTAATGCTCTTGCTGAGATTTTTGTGTTGTTAGGACAGTAAAACATTATGGTGAGAATTTCTTTTCTTTTCCTGATTAAGAAAGAGAATTTAAAAATGCAAATTTATTTTTATAGGCATATTATTTGAACAGTGTATAAATCCAGAGTATTCTTCCTAATGAGATACCTAAGATAAAATATCAGATTGGATCACCTGATGTAGCTGCCATTCTGTTTTGACCTATAAAGATGGCAATTTTATAATACATTATGTTACATACAAATAGGTCACGTATAGTTATTTGTCTGCTGAATTTTACAAAAACAGAAAAAAATTTGGACTAGTTTCCTCTCTTTCACATGTTCCATGATCTCCCTATTATCAGGGGTCAGCAAACTGCAGCTTGTGAGCCACATGTGGCTCTTTGGGTAGTCCCTTCTCAAAAGTTTGCCAACCCCTGGAAGAGCCAATCCTGTCCCTCACAAAAATTTAAAAATTATTCGAGGGCCATAAATATATTTTTACATAATCACCATTATGTGAATAATATCCTTTAAAAATTTTATAAATGAAACTATGATAGTTTTATTTTTTCATTTTCAATTTTACTTCAAAGTCTGCAGCTCACGAGCCACACTTTGCTGACCCCTGGCAGCCCTTCTGTCTCAAAAGTTTGCCAACCCCTATACTATACCCAAAAAGAATGGCTTTACTAAGTCCTTGTCATTAGGAGATTTGCTAGGCAGAAAGTGATTGGTTTATACAATCCACTTTCTAGGGAGATTTTAAAAAGTTTGTTTAAAAAAGCAGACTTGCTGATGGTCAAGTCTGAGAATCTCTTGCATGAAGAAACAAACAAACAAACAAACAAAAACAACCACAACACCCTGGGGCCGGCCGAGTGGCACGTTGGTTAAGATACTGGCTTGGGACGCCAGAGGGCCCCGGTTTGGATCCCACATATAAGGGCCAGTGACACTGCCCTCCACAGCTAAGATGCTGAACAACAGCTCAACCTGGAGCTGGGCTGCCATGAGTCGCTGGCGACGGCGTAG